AGAAGGGGGCAGATTGCCTGGGTGGTACCTTGGAGACGGCATCGGCAATCAGCTCCAGGTCGGTGGACATGGAGGAAATGCGCTTGAAGGAGGCAAGCAGCGCAAGGGGAACCCCTGGACGGTGGATGGGAAGGCGGAGAGACGGGAGTGTGAGAAGGGAGGAGTGGACCAGGGGAAGCCAACCGAGAGGAGGAGAACGCACAGCCGTTCTCAGACTCCTCGATCTTGGTGCGCATGAAGCGATCGCGAACAACATTGTTGTCGCTGAAGTAGAACTCGATCTGGTTGAGGATGCGAGAGCCAAGCTCAACCTTTTTTTTTTTTTTTTTTGGTTCGCGCGCGTATGGGGAAGGCCGGGGGAAGAGGGGGGAGAGGAAAAAGGGTGAGGAAGGAGAAAGGCGAGGAGAACTGGGAAGAGATGCAGGGGGAAAGACTGGAGAGGCAGATGCTGGGCGAGGGGAGGGGGGGGGGAAGGAGAAACTCACGGAGTCAGACATGGTGGAGTGGATCGGGGGAAGGGGGAGCGGGAGACACCAAGGGAGGAGGAAAGCCGCGGGGGGGGGGATGAGGGCCAAAATGGCGACACGCATTGGGCCACCACATGGCTGCCTCATGAAGAGGCCGGGCCTTGGATGAAAATACATCCATGTGACCATATTCCGCATGGGCCGTGCCCTCCGTTGTGTGGGGCATGTGGTGTTCGATGTCGGATCACGCGCGGGTCAGTCTTCGGAACTTTTCATCCAACAGGGCCGCTGAGCGACCTCTCGGCGCCCACTGAGCCCTCATTCCCCCGACACTCTCAGGGGGGGGGGGCGCGCGCAGGTCAGCGGGAGCACCTGAACGGCAGATCAAAAGGAACATTCCATCAGGGGACGCTTTTCCCGGAGGGCTGAGCCATATTGGAGCAAAAGAGCGGGGGAGGCGGCATACACCAGCGGAAGGGGTGGCAGAGAGAGAATAGATACCAAAGGACTAGGGGCGTTTGCATCTTGTCCGTGCGTCCTCGGGTCAACGGGCTTGTGTCACCCTGAGCGCCCGGGAGCAAGCCGAGGAGGAGGGACATGGCCTCAACCCTAGCGAAAATTGTTTGGGCCCCCCTGTTCCTCGCGGGGCCGCCCTGCCCCGGGCCTGCACGACGTCGAGAAGAGCGGAAAACCGCCTGTGTCCCCGGGGGACCGGGAGGGCGCGGGCTGGAAACGGCCAAAGGTGTGTTCGCCTTGCGTTCTCCCCCGGCCGGCGCGGCATACTGGGGGCCACTGTGTAGCTTTGGCGGTATTCTCGGATGTGGGCAAGCGCCCGTGCAGGTGCAGGTGTCTGGGAGAGTAGCGACACAAGAGGCTAGAATGGGCTTATTTTTAATCAGCTATTTTCCGCCCTGCTCGGTGGCTTCTCCCGGTTGGTTGCCGGGCGGTCGGGTCTCATCTCCTCCCATGAGCCTTCTCCCCCCTCCCCCGCCCCCCTCTCGGGCACGCCACACAAGCGCAGGCGCGCACACACTCACACACACAGACCCGCGGCGAATATTGCGGTGGGCGCTTTCCGCGGTCCCAATCGTGCGGGGAGGTGCGCGCACCAAGCGGCCATTTCCCATGGTGCCCTGGTAATAGGCCTCATTCCGCGCCGCGGGGTCGCCCGCCCGCGAGGGCAGCGCTTTGTGCCTTTCCGGTTATGGTTTCCCCGTGGCCGGTGCCTGGCTTGCTGAGCTTGGGTGGGGGGGGGGGGGGCGCCCCTCAACATTAGGCAGCGGCTCCGCGAGAGGGGGCGCCGCCCTGGAGCGGGTGGGGGACCCGGGAGCAATGTCGCCTTCCAATATTGGGCTCTGCCTGCGAGCGGTGTTCCGGCCAGGTGGCATTCCTCCGGTGTTTTCCGCTCTCACCGGTGTCGCCTTTTGCATTGGCGCGTGCGGGTTACAGTGTCTTTCTCCTCTTTGCCCTCCGCGCCGGTGGCTGTCCTCCCCCCCCCCCTCCCGGGATGTGAAGCAGGTGGCTGGGGGGGGGGGTAGAGACAGGAGCGGGGTCAGGCCCCGTGCCCGAGGGGCACCTCCTCTCAAAGGAGGCCCGAGGGGTTGGGGCACCTCGGCGGCTGGGCTTTCGCGCCCGAGGGGAAGAGGAATTCCGGAATTACAGGTGCGTGTCGTCCGCCGGTCGCCGGCTGTGAAACTAGAGCCGCGCCCTTCTGCCTGCATTTCGCGCGCGCGCGCGCGCGTGTGTGCCGGCTGCTCATGCTTGGGCTAGAGAGCGCAGGCTGGAGAAGGTCCCCGGACTGCCCTCGTCCCCTCCCCCCTCGAGCCGTAGTCGCCTCGCTCTCTGGCACCTTCCTTTTCCATGAACGAACTAGGTTAGCCAAGTCCCATGAGCAGGGCACACACCGGCCCGCACAGGCCAGGCGGAGGTATTGTGCCGGCAGGTCCCGGCGTGAGGTGACGACCGTGTGTGCGTGTGCGCCTCTGCGTGCGCTCACCCGTACGAACTGGCCCTTCCCTGGCTGGGAGGAGGCGGCGCATAGGGGGGGCGGGGGGCGGAGGTGCTGGGGGTCAGCTCCCGGCCCCCAAATCCCCTTTTGTTATTGTTGGGGGGGGGGGGGGGGTGCGTGTGTGTGTGGTTGTCGCCTCCCTTCCTCTGGCGCGGCTGGCGCGCCCCGCCGAGCTGGGACGGTGCGAGCCGACAACGGAAGCAGCCAGTACCCGCCTCTCTGGGCGTGTGAGCCCCCTGCCACCACTCGTCGCCCCGTCCGTGGTGAGCGATGTGGGCTTCCCTTCCGGCGTCAGTGCCGACCATAGGTCGGTCCCAGGCGGGCCGGGAGGACGGGCGGGGCCCGGGCCGAGACGCGCTCCGTTGCCGGAACAAGCCGCCCTCCCCTTGCCCCCGGAGTGCGTTTAGGTATGCGGCCACTGGTGTGTGTGCGTGTGCGTGTGCGTGTGCGTGTGTGTCGAGCTCGGGCGCACCTACGCGCATGTCAGGTGCGTATGTCCCTGCGGTCGCTGGGGGAGGTGGGGGGGCTGCGCTCGCCCCTCCCAGGGGTGGGGGGGGTTCCCCGCGGTGGTGCGCCTGTGTTAGGTTCTCCTGCCCGAGGGTGGTCCAACGGGCGGCCCGGGTGCCTGAGAGCCCCGCTGGAGACTTCCTTGGAAGTGCTCCACCCCCCCCCCCCCCCGGCGTGCTTGCCTGCATGCCTGCGCGGGTTCCAGGCGGAGTGCCCGTCGGGTGCCGGGAGGAGGGGGTGAGCTGGGCCAGGCGGAGGCCGTGCCTGGGCGGGGTGCAGGGGTGCGCCGGAGGGCACCCGCGGCGGTGAGCGCGACCCGCCCCCCCGCCGCCCCCCGCCGCCCCAAACAGGCGCAGGTGTGTGTCGGTGCGCGGGTGTGCGACCCGGCCGGAGGCCCCGGGCGGGAGCACATAAATAAGGGCCGGCGCCGGGCGGCGGGTCCCGGGAGACGGGGCGGTCATCTCGCGTTTTGTTTTTAGAACTTGCCTGCCTGTGCTCGCTCCCCTAGGACAGACCTCGACTTTCTCCACCATGGCCGACGTTTCCGACTCCCGCATCCCCGAGGCTTACGCCGACGTCCGCAACGACAACACCGACACCAACTGGTACGCCCGCCGCGAAGTGGTGACATTCCCCCCTTGCCTGCTCTCCCCCTCCCTTCCCCTCTCCTGACACAAGCCCCCCCCCCCCTCCCCCCGCCTCCTCCCCTTCCCCCCGGTCTCCCGAACCCTCTCCCCCATCTTTTCCCCGTGCTCAGGGCCCTGTTCGCCTACTCCGACGACACCAGCAACACCATCGTCGTTGCTGACTCCGGCTCCGGTGGCCTCGAGGAGTTCAAGGCTGCCCTCGCCAAGGTCGATGCCGGCTACGGCTTCCTCCGCTTCACCGTCGGCAACGACGAGCTGAGCAAGCGCGCCAAGTTCGTCTTCGTTTCTTACACTGGCCCCAGCTGCCGCGTCCTCCGCAAGGCTCGTGTCTCCATCCACCAGGCCGACCTCAAGACCCACATCAAGGTCCGTTCCTGCCCCCGGTTGCTTCTTCTTCTTCTTCTTCTTCGCACACACATTCCCCGCCGGGCTGTTTGTCCCCCCTCTTCCTCTCTTTCCTGCCCGCGTTTGTCCCCATTCCCCCTCGTGCCCATGGAATCATCTGCTGACACAATCCCCCCCTCCCGGCGGCTTCCCCCCCTCTCTCTCCCCCCCTCTCCTGCCTCCCTATTTTCTTCACCCACAGGACTTCTCCATCCAGATTGGCATTGATGACGTCCACGACCTCAAGGAGTCCGACATCCTCACCCAGCTGAAGAAGGCCATGGGTGCCAACTACGATCGCCAGGCCTCCGGCTACTAAACGCGCGCTCTGTGTGTGTGGTACACCAGGGCTTCCCTCCCGGGGCGCCTCATAGGTGCGCGCGCGACCGTTCGCGCGTGTGCACACTCCCCACCGCTCTCTGCCCACGCGCGCGCGCGCGCGTGCCTGCATGTGCGTGCCTTTTTTGGCTCCCATGACGTCGTCACTGCTGGGCAGCGACGGCGGGGAGGGCCTCAGTGTGCATTGCCTCCTTTCTCCTCCATATGCAAGGCGGCGATGCTCGCTGCTGCGCACAGGATGATGTGCATCCCTCTGTTCTCCTTCCCTCCCCTTTCTCGCTCTCTCGCTCTCTCCTGCTGCGCGCCCTCCCCCTACCTGGGGGGGGGACGCGCGTGAGGTGAGGGTGGGCCGAGGCAGAGAGAGAGGCCGGCGGACCAAGCCCAGGGGGTGCGCGCCTTCCTGCGAGAATATACAGTCCTTTTCCAAACACCGCACAACACCCCGCACGTTTGTCCCCCGTGTCTCCTTCCTGCACTCTGTTTTTCTGTTCACACACGCACGCGCGCGCGCATGATGTGCTCTTCCTTCTCCTCCCTCGCTCTGTTCTTTTCTTCGTTGCGTGTTTTTTTTTTTTCAGGACACGGGGACACGCTACGAAGGGGGAGGCCGGCCGACGTGTGTTTGTCCCGTCGCCCTGATCCCTGCCGGGGGGACGGGGGGAGGTCTGCCGTTCCCCTGTCCCTCTGCCATACACCCCCTGCGCGCCCAGAGGCCCGGGAAGAGGGGGAAAAATGTACAGCGCAAGAGGGTTTAGCGTGCATTCGCACCAGGGGGCTCATTATGAGGGGGGCGGAGGAGGAGTTGCGGCAGCCGTATTTCCTCCCGCGAACTCCCTTCCCCCTTGGAAAATGCGCACGCCCACAAAAGAGGGACAGCTTGCTCTGGCAGAGGCGACCACGGAGAAAGTTCCACAAACGTGAGGAGTGTGGGCAGGTATGTGCGCCTGAGCGGCCCGAGCCACTAGGGATCCTTGGATCGTACTTTTCGCCATTGTCGACCGTCGCCCGAGGGTTGGCCGGACACGGGCGGCAGCCTCAGGGGGGGCGAGGGGGAAGGAGAGCTCGCGCTTGTCGGAGCCTTGTCGCCAGTATACTCTCGCCCTCGGACGCTCACCCCTTCCTCGGGGGCGAGAGGCCAACGGGCAGCAGCATGGGGGGCCCTTCGCACGGTGCCGAGTAGCCTCCGAGGAGCATTTTTCTCGGCCGACCAATCAGCGACATGCTCCTGTGGGTCGTCTGCGACTCCCCTGGGGGTTGCACCGCATCTAGCAGGGGCCGCCCCCCTTTCCCCCCTGTCCTCGCCCACCGTGTGGGTGGGTGTGTCGGGGGGGGGGGGGGGGAGTGAGGGCGGCAGGAAATTTCGCTCAGATGCGCTTGCAATTGGAGACTGAGAGAGCTCGGAGCAGGATAGAGCGACCGGGAGAGGGGCGACAAGGGACGGGGGAACCGTGTAGCCCACCACCAGGGCCAAAGGGGGTACCGCTATTTGTCCCGGAATGGCAATTCCCCGGCGAAAGTTGGCCGCCAACAACGTCGTTGTGGGATCACGCGGATAATGCGTAGCACCTGACTGAATGGCACATTTCTCCGGGCATAATTCAAAACAATCCCCCACAAGGGAAATGGGGGCGGCGCGACCTGCCTTGCCCCCCCCCCCCCCCAGTTGCATGTCCCGAATGGGCCCCCAAAGTCGACGAGGGGGGAGGAGGAGGCGGGCGCCGACGGAGTATCCCCTCGCTGGTGATAATGGCCTTGGCCGGGAACCCTTTTGTGACAGCCTCCGGCCCAGACGTCTCCGTCTGCGCGCGGAGCGATCTTGCCATCCAGCTTCTCCCCCTCATCCTCCCTCGTTCTTGCCCCTGTCCCTGCCCTCGCCCTTGCTCTCGTCCTCGCCTTCCCACAGATACCTCTTCCCTCCCCCCCCCCCCCCGGGCCATCTCCGTGTATCCGTCGCCCCTTTCTCCCCTCACCGTCAGTCGCGAGGATGAGCGGGCCCTCTGTTGGCCGTGCTACCCCGCCGCCGGGTAGTCCCACTTTTGTGCCGATCTCCCAGTCGCCAGATTACATGGCCTTCCGGCGACTGGTTGCCCACCAAAAGGTGCGACTTCGGTTCCCCCCCCCCCTCCTCCTCCCCTCCCGGCTGTTCCTCTCCCCTCCCTCCGCATCATTTCCCCTCTTTCGCCCTCCCCCATGCATCCACGCACATGTGCGCGTTGCAAGGGCACACCAAAGATAGCCCCACTCACATGTTGGCACCCATGCACGCACACGTCAATGAATACCCCTCCTTCGAGGGCATCAACAGAAGATCTGCCAAGTGGCATATGGCAAGTGCTACGAATGGGGCTTTTACGACTGCAAACCTCTGAACTCCTCCAACATCTCGCTGAAGAGCATGCCGACGCTGTTGTGCATCCCGCACATCGGTGGTACCGCGGCCAGCTTCTTCCGTCTGGCGTCCACCCTCTCAGCGCGCGGGTTTCGAGTGATTGCCGTGCGTGGCAGCCGTCCCTTCCCCTGTCTCACATCGAGTGGCCCGTTGGCCGCCTGTCCGCCTGGCCGATGTTCCTTCTGACTGATGCGAACCTTCCCTCCTCCCCCCCCCCCTCCCCCCCCGACCGAACCCATTGCAGGTGGACTATCCCCCGGTTGACTCGCACTTTGAGTTTGGCGACTCATTGAACAAGTTCCTCGAGTCACTGGACATCGACCAGGTCCACATTTTGGGCAATGCGCTCGGCGGCTTCCTGGCCCAGCACTTCGCCTTTGTCCACCCGCAGGGGGCCAAGCGCGTTCTTTCGCTGGTCCTCATCAACTCCTTCTGCTCGACGCGTCTCTTTTCGATGAACACTCCGTACATGGGATTGTGCGTTTGACCCGCCCCAATGATATGTGCGCCCGGGCGCGTGTCTACAAACTTCCCTCCTCGCTAACGCGCGTCCTCCACCCCCCCCCCCTCCCCTCCCGCCCTGCAGCTTCAACTGGGCCCCGGAGTTTGCCCTCAAGCGCATCCTCCTGCGCAACCTTCCGCAGAAGGAGCTCCCGCCGGCACTGGCCGACTCCATTGACTTCATGGTTGATCAGGTTCGTGGATGGATCGGCATTCGTCCCTTTCGCATCACCCACTGCTCCGGCCGCTTCTCCTCGTCTTCTCTCATGCTTGGCTGTTCACCGTCTTCCACCTTGCCCCTGCGCTGGCTTTGCCCTTCTGTCGGCATAGATCGAGTCCCTGAGCCGTGATACCATTGTCTCGCGTCTCATCCTGAACACCATCTCGTTGACCCTCTCGCCGGCCCTCATCCGAGCGGCGTACACGAACCGGAGTTGCGCGGTCCGACGCGTGACCCTGGTCGAGAGCATGGAGGCCGAGGATGACAACTCCGACGCGGTGGCTGTCTCCACGCAACTGCGCGACGAGTGTCGCGAGTGCTATACGGCTGCCTTCGCCTCCCTGACGCCGGATGTGGATCCGGCTGTCGCGGCCGCCGATGCCGGAATACAGCCCGGCTCCAGTCTGCCCAACGACGGGGTGATCGGCGAAGTCCGTTCGGCTTACATCCGCGGCGGCGGGAACTTCCCCTTCCTTTCGCACACCCAGGAGCTGGCCATGCTGGTGCGCGTCCACATGCTGCCCTTTAGCGAGCTTGCCCAGGAGGCGGAGGCCACCGCCGCCCCCGATGGCGTGGCTGTGCCCGACGCGGGCACCAGCGCCGGGTCACCGGACGCCAGCGACCATGAAGATTGCGACAGTTCGCCACCGGTGATCGTCCTGGCGGACGATGTCATCCCCGTGGGCGATGCCTCAGACACCAGTGATGTCGATGGTAATACCGCGGCCAGCGCCGGCGATGTTGATGGGAACGCCACGGATGGCAGCAACTAATGGTGTGGGGCACACGCACGGGTGCACATGGTGTGTGTGTGTGTGCGCATATTTCTGTGTATGTGCATCCTGCACCGGTTTCCCTCCCTTGTATCTACAGCATGTTCCCTCCCCAATCTACCGACCATCC